ATAAATTAAAAAGAGGCGAGACCTGAAGAACAACTAAAGAGAATAACACGTCAAAGAGATTATTTTCTCGAAGACAAGCCTAGTTGACCTGATAAATACGCACTCTAAAAGTTTATTTGCTATATATATATATATATATATATATATATATATATATATATATAGAGAGAGAGAGAGAGAGAGAGAGAGAGAGTATAGATATAAGTAGAATAGATGATAATATTATTATTAATTGTATGTTCTAAGCTTCGCTCTGTAGATACATAATTAATGTAGTTGTGTGCATATCCATAATACCTAAGGTCTACTAATACCATCATTAATAATCCATCTCCAAACAGTGATACAATTCACGACTGTAATATTTTGAATGTGGTGATAACCAATAGAGTAAAATACAGACGAAGTGTGCTTTCTTTTTAAGATATTTAGAACTTGTCAATTGTATGTATGTACTTAACTGTATCTCAGTGTCGTTGTTTTATACTACGAAATAAAACGTAACACCTATTGATTTTAAATACGAAGAAAGCAAACTTTATTAATATACTTAATTAGAACAATCTACTCGTAAGCCTATTATAGTCAACGTAGAGTCTGACACGTTCATACGCTATAGCCCAAGTCGTCATACCACTCTAAAACAAACATCGAATTAATGTAGTAACAATGAGATAGTGAGAAAGATCTAACGAAAAAGTGGAGAGATATGTATTCAGGTGTTATATCCTTGATCTATCTACCCAGTAAAAACAAGAGAGGACTTGTCTCAATCTAGATTAAGGCCTTGACACGACAGGGTAATTGGTTTAATCTTGTGTCCAGAACTGAGTGTGTCCGAAATGAGACTAACGGCCTTGAGCAGAGAGAGGAAAACTATTGTACTAATTTTTTGGTTGACAAGGGAGAGATGAGCCAACTGGAACACCATTCAATCTATTCCTGATTTTCAATTCAGATTAGTGTACAAAGATAAATGGATAAATGAATGACTAACACGATCACAACGTACAACACAATTAGAAAAATTCAATCATGTCCTAACTGAGCACTAAGATGAAAAAATAGAATACCAAGTTTTACGCTTAAATTACAGTAGCTTCGGAACAGTTTGTTTTCTCTGAGTTGGCTCGAGTGAAAACATAACCAAACAATAATCAATCGGAGATTTTGACACTAACATATGGACAACGAATGTCAGTGATGCTAATTAAACAATCTTACTTGGTATAACGTTTTTATTAAATATGTTAAATAAATAAATGACTGGAAACTCCTAGGCCCTCAATATTTAGTTACTAAATTTGTACATTGACTTGAAACCAACCGTTATGGATCATAATCCACATTTAAATAATCATTTACAGATTTAATAATTAGAAATACATTAGATAATCATAAGTTGATCTATGATTAGAAAATAACCTATTTGATAATTTGCATCAGAAATTAAATGACATTATGCACAACATTTTCAACGTTCAATTTGTTTCTTGTATCCAGTACTTTCGTCCACTTTTCCGTCTATTTATCAAATGAATACTGCATATTGAAGAGTGTTTTTCATCAAAGATCTCATTTCGAGCCTTTATAAGTATCCTCCTACAACTATCTGCTATGATCATCTATCTCCGTGTAGTAAAGACCATCCACACCGGAAGAAAAACATAAATATAGTGCAAGTTAGAGTTTGAAATTAAGATTGTGCTCTAACATGAAGCCTCTACCTGCTGAATGAGCGAAAAATAACTGAAAGTTCTGGGTACAATCTACTTATTAGAAGTTAAAAACTTTGCGGATATTAAACTGCGAAATGCATTTTTAAAAACCAGCGTGCAGAGTAACAGTAATAATTAACAAATAATATCACGTTGTTCTAAATAGACGGAAATAGATCAGGTTCTTGTCTCGTTAAAAAGGTACAGACACTCGATAGATGACGTGAGAATGCACTAAGTTTTACACATTTTTAATCTACACAGATTAATAGTCAGATTTTGAATGAATAAATAAATAGCACTGAATAGTACTTGATACCAATTAGTTACTAATTTAATACAACTGTTACAACCAACAATTTTAATTCATTTATTGAGTTGTATTATCACTCTTGTCTAATAAATCTAATCAGTATCGCATATTTAATAGATAATGTCATTAAACTGTTCAATTGTACGGCCGCTGATATGTATTCAGGTATTTTAAGGGAAATCATAGAGGATTCATGATCATAGAGTAAATGGTTCTGATTTCGAACTATTATTCACTTTATCCTATCCATTTCATGAATATATTCATGTATATATACGATCTATGAATCATGCTAATAATTGTTAGTAGGCGGTTTAATCAGTCTAGTTATGGTAATACTAAATTCAGATTTCATTGATTCATTATTCATATTTAACTCTGTATAAGTCATACAATATATTGTATTTGTTCGATGATGAAACAACTGTCCAATGCTTCAGCTGATATATACATCAAGATTAGTTTAGTAAAACAATTACTATCCAAATTAACTGTGTGATTACTAATAACAAATGCTTTTTAATATAAAAAGATGTAATAATAATAATAATAATAATAATAATAATAATAATAATAATAATAATTCATATTACATTAATTAAAACAAAAGTAATGTTTATTTGTTTGTGTTTCAGTTACTAATTAATGTATTAAGCCAGAACAATTCGTGTATAACACACACATTTATAGATATATATATATACATAAACACATGATTCGCACTTCTTGACCTAGTGAAATAAAGTGAATAGGTGGTAATTGGTTATATAAAGAATGAATAAAAGTAAAATGGTGCATTGATTTGATGCAATTTCTCTAAAAGGCTCTATAACAAATAAAGAGGTATTCATAACAGATAATTAATCGCACTTACGTAAGTGGATAACATCAAAAAAAAGTCAATTACTGTTTTCTTTTGGGGGGGGGAGTGGGTGATTTACATCACAAATTCATTTTTAGGTAGATACAACCATTGAAAAAATAGAAGTCAGTGAACAGCTGTTTGATCTAAAGTATCGAACTGCCTAGCAATGAACACTCAAAATATTTAGTCTACTAGAAATTAAACATAGAAGATTTAGGTCTCGCGATGAGTGAAGGTTAACTGTGAATTACTAAGTTGGAATCAATTAATTGGTATTTATAAATTCAGTCAATATACCATATTGCAGAATCATCATTAACTTAGCTTGATTAATTCTACAAACTGAAGAAATTACATGTATGCTAAAGCAAAGCTTACTAGCTATCAGTAAGGATTATACATTGATGAGTACAAAAAGAAACCCAGCTTATACGAGTAGCGTATTTGTTTACCCAACTAGGTAACTTGTTGTAATGAATGGATTAATATCATTATTATTATTACCTGATTTAAACCTTTTTCAAGGTATAAGTTCTATAGGTATTCACTAGTTAAGTTTCCTACATAAAAAAATATTTTAACAACACTGTCGAATTTTATGCTGCAGATGTACGACGCACTCATTTGACTGAGAAAGTTATATATATATATATATATATATATATATATATATTAGTATAAAAAGAATTTGTGGGATTTTCACAGCTGAAATCTGAGATGCAGGACAGTGAATCCGCACTGCTGAGGAAACCCACACTACAACAAAACAGCCATGTAATGATTTTAGGTTTGTAATGAAGATTAAGCTGACAGCAATTCGTGATTTAGACTTTAAACTACAATTATAAATACACTATACAGTTCTATTTGTAAACATTTGTAGTTTCTTGTCGTTGATGTTAAGGACTGTACGCAATTAAACTCTATTGGTAAATTTGTATCGTAAGCAGATTAATTTGACACTGCCAATTATTTATAAGCTTTTATTAAAAATTGATAGTGACTAGTAGTAGAATACAGGACACCAGTTTCAACCGATTTAGAACTCACTAGATGGATATAGCTATACCTCAATGATGAAATTCTCACCAAATTCATTAGCCCAGTGGATAACGCATTCAGCATTTCCAGCGAAAAAGGAATTACGTTAATCTCAGTGTTAATACTAACAACATATGCATATATATAGCCGATGAACCCCAAATAAGACAAAACGCATGTCTTAGATTCAACTATAAACCAGCAATCAAATTTAAGAAAAGATATTATAGTTCGGTTTAGACATAGGTTACATGCGCTTTACACTTTGAAAATGTATACAACACATTATAAATTTAAATATTCCTCTTTTATTCCAAGTTACCACATTATTTTCAGAAATATGATAAACTTACTATGCTCTACAGATCGTACTTGTGAAATATAAGCTGACCGTCGTGAATTACCATCATATGTAGAAGAATTCATGTTTGTTTCACCTGAGAAGTTAACATGACGACCAGTTGAAGCCTTCAACGACGACAACAACAACAACAAAAAGAAACAAATGAAAGAAATATGAATTTATTTGGATAGAAAATCATTGATAAGGAATTTCGGTATGATAATGTAATCATAACTGACAGATATTGTCTTATCAGTAAAAAAAATATTGAAAAACCAAATTGTCTTGCATTATTAAAAGGTTACACTTTTCTGCTCATTAGATATCAAAAATTATTTACGATGAAACCAAAAAAAAGTTTTTGTACACTTAGAGATCAGTTTTTTTTAATCAGAGATTAACCTTAAATATATAATCAATGAAAATGAAAGAGAGGAAGAATACTAGACAACTATTTCGATAAGTGATATTCCCCCGGCTAAGGAATAAGTTGGAAAAGTGCTAATGGGTGGAATTGGGATTGGAATTAAGACATTATTACATGAAATGGTATGTGTAAACTAACAATGGTTGAAAAATCAGATAATTATCATGATCAATAGTAAGAGATTATGAATGATATAGTTTAAAATAAATTCCGTTAAAACAAATAAATTTGTCCTTGTTTTTCTTTATACCTCAGGTTTAAAAATTACTACTTTATACTTTTGATACCGCGAATTTACATGTTCTGCACAAACTATACTGTAATGAATGAAGATTTGTTGGGGATGATCAATTTATTGTTGAATACAATATTACAAAATGTCATCATAAAATAAGAGAATCATACATTAAATAATTGATTTGCAAATCTTTCATTAATTGTCCTTTACACTCTGTATGATTCTTCCAATTCATAATTCCTTTCTATTTCTCTTTTTGTTTTGTTCAACTTGATCTTCTTAGCTTTCTGCTAGGAGGTTTTCCACTTACGATTGGTGTTAAATACAAGTTATGTCGACAGACACAAGTAGCATACACCATAATACTTTTTATATCCCATGTTTTCAACTATTACTGATATTATACTATTATTATATTATTGTGATGATGTAGTATAATAATGTATCAGTTGGTATATTATAGGAGAGAGTGATTGGACAATTGTTGCATCCTAGTTTGCGGCTGAAGTGAATAGCAACGACCATTTACAGAATACAACCTACAATCTTTATCTATTCTCACTTGAGAATACATTACCTTATCCTATACTCTCAGTTAAAAAACAAAACACCGTAGATCTGATTAATCGACATAATTCAAGTGTAATTGGTTCTTGTTATTAAGATTTTAAATCAACACAATGAAAAGCAATAAATTATATGCAGAAAATCTACAGAATTCAAAATGGTTGCATTAATATTAGTAAAAGAATATATATATTGAACACAGGAAATATAGTTAGTTAATGATGGACTAACATTGAGGCACATCATTGAAACAAAAATTACAACTGCAAAACATCTACAAAGCCGTGACAAAATCTTCAACATATGAAGATCAATCATAAGCACTGAGAAGCATCTACCATATGACACGGCTCAGCATAATAATTGATAATTATATTAGGCAATGTTTAAACTTGTATGACATCAAAAGTTCACTAATCTACTCTTAGTATACACAATATAGCTCTCTCTCTCTCTCAGTCGCTCTAAATGATAATTTGACATACATCAACGGATGAACGTTCACTCAGTACCATGGAAACCAATTCATTATCCTATAATCAGTACTCCATAATTGTTATCCAACATCGATACTGAAGATTTTTTTGTATCCTACTAAGATGTATGTAAAATATCGTTTACATTATGATGAGACATGACCATTCATAACAAACAGAATAGATGATTTATTCTTCTGTAAGCAGTATATTTGTTTGATTAGATACCATCAATTCATCTCATTGTCAATTGTTTCAATGCATGTGCATGTACTATGACCAATTTTCACGGTGGATAATAGCAAAAAAAAACAAAAAAATTTAACGAACACAAAGTAACAATTAAATATTAAAATAACCCTAAAAATCTTTCTTTAAGAAGGGAGATTATTTCCTATTCACAATTTGGTCTGTGATGCTTTGAAGAAAAGAAATATCATTGAATTCCATTGAATAATTATATTGTGTTTTGATATCTAAGATTTCTAAAACTCTTATCACGTGGTATCGCAAAGAAACATCTAGTTATATAATTTAATATGAAACTTTTGTAACCATCATACACAAATATTACGCATGAACTACACATTTCGATCATTACAAGTGTTATTTTTTCTTAATAAAGCATATCACTAGTCTATATACAGAATGCGTACATGTACACACTTTATTATATTGACCAGACATACCTTACACTATTATTATTAATACTGCACAGTATGGTATGATTTACAAAATACACAGGCAATCGAAGATACCTATATTGTATTGTTTTCGTGAAAAAAAACATTCACAAAATACAACAAAGTTCATTTCTATCCTATATATATATACTACACACAACACAAAATGCAATCTGTGTCCATATCTCTATCCTGATGCTTATGCCAGGATAATCAAAATAATTGTGAATTGAAGGGATGCAACTATATGCTGATCATCAATAAAATAATTTTGCATGATAGTACAGAAGCAGAAGGTCACATAAAAGCATATATATATTATGTATTGGGAAATAATACATATAGTTCAGGAGTATTGTAGTATCATAAGTGTATACCGCAACCTAACACAATCAAGGTTATTAAGTGAAAATTGGAACACGGGTATTGATAGAAAATGTTAATAGTGTCTATGAAAAATAATATTTTGTATGTATACGGTTGTAGAGATTGGTGTATTCCGTAGAATTTTTTGAACGGAAGTCAGACCAACATTAAAAATCTGGAAGCACTGGACAGTCGTTTTGTCTTGGTATGAAACTTTACAGCAGTGGACATCAACGACCTCTGATTAAAGAGCTTCGAACCTAGAGCATTCGGGTTTGCATGTGTACACTTAATTTCTAAACCAATGAGCTTGGATCCGATTATATTAATATCTAACTTCGATCAGTTTACGATATTGCGCGACCAACTTTCATGGTCTTCGGTGAGTAACTACCTCACACTTGACACGGGTAGAACATCAACGATCATAGCTTCTCACTGAACCTATGTGAATTTCCTATCAAAGCTTGTTGCTTGCCGTACTCACTAATGATTACTGATTATCAGTTTAACATCTTCCTTACACATTTCTCTTTGGATACATTTTCTAAAAGGTCACGTTCGTTAATCCTATGAATTTTAGAAGGTGGTCGAAGAAAAGTGATAGATTGTAAGAGATAAGAACACTGAACAAGGTGGTATTTTATTCAAAGTAGTAACAGTATACCAAAAAAAGAAATCATGAGAAAAGGTGGGGAATTAAAAATGGATGACATGGATATGCAGAAGAGACAGATAAAAATTTTTATTAAATTCAGGATATATATACACCAGATGAACTGGCAGATGCACATAAAGGAGACCAAACGAGGAAGCTTATTCTTTACGGATACAGAAAACAAGTTCCTATCAGTGAACATTAGTGGCAGCCTTATTGAACAGAACGTTCTATTTATCGCTAACACTTGACTGATTTTATTTACATTTGGTCACTTTTAAATTTCGGGTTTAGTTTTTATGTTACCAACTATGGGAGTGATGATAAAGGATATACACAGATAAAAATGAAATATCGTTATCAATTTGATAATGTTTATTAGGAGAATTATATTTCAACTAATGATTTACGAGAAACAATTTTCAATCCAAATGGATTCTAATCATTTTTACTTAAATTTAACTCAAAATAAGTGTCTGTCGTTTGTTAAACTAACTGGATTTGAATAAAAGGATAAACTGTAACTGACAACCGATGAACTTTACCAATATAATAATAAAGCATTTAAATAATTAGGGTCAATGAAGACTAAAATCTATTTTGATGAAATTTTTTGTGAGTTTAACAAAGCGATCCACAGCCGCTAGATTTTTCATAAACTACTACTACTACTACGATGTTTGTGCTGATAATTTCATCTCACTGAATTAATTTGGCATGCCAACTTGAATTGATGTACACGTGTGCTAGGTTCTACATTGCGTTTGACTGACTGACTAAACAGTAGATGGATTAGAGTGACCACTTAATCCTAACAAACACTAGTTGTAAGTATATTGATATTACGGATATTAATAAATGAAACATATTTCTATCGGTCACCATTGTACTGATCAGATACAGAGTACAAGAAAAGGATGGCATATTAGTTGATAATGTAGTAAATTATCATTGACTGAAGTGGTAAAATAATACATATTACGCATGCTCAACAACCGCTTACTTTTACTGGCTACGTTCGCTAAAATAGGGAAGTGTTGGAAAAAAGCTTATTTGTTATTTATTTAAACAAATAAGCGTTAGTACAAGGAGGCACCACAAAAGTCATTAAATTCGTGTGAGAGCTGCGATACTGCACGGGTGTCCAAACTGAAGCAGGTAGTTCATACGCCATTTGTTTCCTTAGGATCCTGGAGCCCATGTACAACAATGGTTTGGAATCAGGGTTTCCCAACTCCCCTAGGTGGATCCTCCAAATCCAGTACCGGACATTCATTTTTCGTCCTCTCAATTTCGTAAACAACGGTAATGCCGCGAGGAAGCAGTGAGTAGGACTTCCCTGTCAGTGGTTTTATGCATGTGATCATATGAGAGAATTTCGAGAGGTAGAGCTGACTCTCCCCAATTTCGACCGTACCAGGACATTTGGGTAAAATTGAAACGCAGTGTCACTCTATATCAAGTCACTGACTGTTGAAATAAGCCGTATAGGTAAGTCCAGACAACATGGCTGAAATCCGTGTAGTTATCATCACCAATATTTGAAGACGCTGTATGACATGGCTCAGGATCGGTCAGAATGGCACAACAGTATCAACTTCATTTAAAAAAGTTTAAACACTTTACTCCACGAATTCATTATTTCTTCTCAAATGATATCGTTTGTATCTAATCTTCACTACTATTAATGATACTTTCAAAACTCTGGTAATTATCTTGATAACTTTACTTCGCTATTTTGATTTGGTGTAAGAACTTAAAAAATGATATACATATCTGCTAAGTTCTACATTATTTATGATTGACTGTATGGATTTTGTAAAAGATTATTTGTTTAGACATTTAATGGAGGAAGCATATTGCTGAAAATTAACAGAAAACCACACTTTTTAATTTCCAAACGACTTAGTTGTGTACATCACAAGCTAGGAGCCACAGGTTAATTGATTATGATAAAAAATCTTAGGCGGTGAATATTTTTAAATTAAAATATTATAGTTATAAGAGAGAATTCATTTAATATTGTTTGGTTATCACAAAACATTGATTGAATATTTCCTAACTGAGTGTATTCAACCACTGCTGAAAAATAAACACCGTGGTAAGAGTTAACTTAGAATAGTTGATCACATAGTACAGTAACTTGATATACACAGTTCGGTTAACAACAAAGCAAAGGTATGAAACATTTTTTATTAACACAAAAACTTACAGAAGGATGATTTGAAGATCGAGTATCATTAGTTTCTCGTTCGGTGGTTGAATAATCAGTACGCGCAGATGATCTGCCAGTAAACGTATCGCCACTACCTGCTACAGTCTCAGAATTAGGTCGAGATCTCAATAATTCAGTATCGGTGAGTCGACGAAAAAGATTTGTAGGATTTTCTGAATAAATTCTATTACAAGCTGAAGAAGTATGACTTAACTTTATAGATTTATTATTTGGAACTCCCGATGTATCAGTTGATGTTGTTCTATCTGATGACGACGATGTATCAACAGTGGGAATAGAATTCATTGGTTGGGAATTATCCGAAACAACAGTACTACCGTTGATATTTTTATCAGCTAACTTTTTAGCCTGTTCTACATCTTCTGATGAAACACCTTGAGTGGATCGTCGAGTAGATCGGACATAACGAGCTTTAACACTACGTTGTGTCTCTGTTTCACCGGACTTTGTTGGCGCCATTACAACAGATATTCTAACGACAAAAACAATTCAAAAAATGTAAATTAACATACAAGTTGCAAATTACTGATTCACAGCAAAATAAGCGATAGATTATTGATTTTCTACAAACATTATACAAAAATACGAAGAAAAAAGGTTTATTGTATCTCAGAAGCATTGTGAAAAAGAATTTTTATGGATTCGTTGATCTCATATGAAACTTGGTATAATTAGGCTTTAAACATAGTATTCAGCTAACAAAAATATTTGTGTGTGAGCTAGGAAACTAACCTGAACACATAAACCGAAGAACTTGCTATTCTTAGAAAGCCACTGCACAGGTTATTGCAATAGAGCTCTAATCATCAAGGCGGCAAAGCAACGTCAAGTGTCACCTTACTGTGGTGGCAAGGGACGAAAACGAGTTCATATAGCAATAATTCACTCAGTATCCTAGAAGCCATAAGTTTGGAATTTTGAGTTCTCGAACTATTTAAGGCTGGCCCACGTAGTCGACAATCCAGTTTAAGTACTTTTCATCCTTTCAATTTTGCAAACAACAGCTTCGTCGCTTTAAGGCAATGCGAAGAAACTCCCTAGCAAGGATTATCAAAACACCGTCGTATAAGAGTTCTTCGAGAATGAGAGAGAATGAACGTAATCTTAAAACCACAGGACAACTATTTCATCCCAGTATATGAACTCAAAAATAAGCCAATCTTCCTAATGTTTTCTAACAGCCTGATATGTCCACTACTGTATTTCAATGTAGTTCACATAAAACTATAGTATGCATTCTCCTGCAGCGTTGATCGAAACTAAATAGGGACTACGTTGAGAAGCTAGGTAGATGAAGGTAATTAATATGAGACCATGTTTGACTTCGGTTTAAGTATTCCCAGTTAACTGCCTCCAAATACTTAACATCAGAAGTTGTCGCAATAGATCCTATTAGGTAAAACAAGATAGACTTGTAATATTCATTTAGGCATTTTAAAGAAAACGGATTTCGGCGATGCGATATTTTTTCAACAAATTTATTATGAAGCTATACAATCCTATACATATACATATAGACACTACTCATCTATTTAAAAACTGTTTACGTTGGGAAGAAAGCATATGTAATTTAGTCGTTTCTTTTTCTTATTGAAATACCTGGCAATGATTATTCAGAATTACTACGTATCGTAAAATCCGAAGATAAAACGATATGAAGATTACGAAGGTAACCTGAAACATGCAATGAAACTTAATAACAATCTTTGATCAATTTCTTCGTTGCAAAAAGAAACATTAAATACGTTTACTTACCGTCGATTAGTTGTAAGCTCAGGAACAGGACTGGATAATTTACTTTGTGTATTATTCACGGATACAACACTTTCCTTTTCATCAACATTCATTTTTTGTGGGTCACTTCGCTGAAATAAATATAGACAATTTAAAGAGGAATAAAATACAGGTGAACAAAATTATCAAAGACATATTGAGTCATTGTTTGGATATATATACCATCGACTATTTTTAGACGTGAGGTGGTTGCAAGTAGTCAACAGGTTCGAACCCCTCTTCAACTACACTGGTGAAGGTAACTAGGTAACGTTATTATCCCTCTCATGTAGAGGGGTTCAAAACCTAACACATGAGTCTACATTTAATAGATAAGTGAATTAATCAATCAAACAGTTCTCCATAATCGAATAAACAGATTTAAGTTTACTAACTAAACGTTGACTGTCTAGAAAAATCCTGTTACGTTAGTAAATTGATTATTCCACACACTATAATGATTCTTATTTGTAGAGAAAATCATTGGAAGCACGGATAGAGATAATCTAACAAATCATACTAAAACATAATAGATAACTTCCTATTTATATTAGCTCTTACCCTAGGTTTGACAGCGATTATTTTCGTAATTGATCGTCCTGTTCCTGATGGAATAGTAGATGTAGCAGCCATTGTTGTTGTCACAGTTGAGGAGGTTGATAATTCTTTATTAGTAGTAATATTATGTACACTAGTTTGTGATTTCTCATCAGCAGGATGTTTATTTTGTGGAGTTGATATAATACTTACAATACCGGTTTTATGTTTATTCGTTGTACTTTCACGTAAATCATCACTCTCACATATTTTATTTGTTGTATTCTCTGATTCTACCAATTTGGGAACTAAATGTGATGTAGATGATGAAATAGGACCGGATACACTATTAGTAGGTATAGTTAAAGGAGGAGATCGTGATGAATGACGAAGTGTACTACCTGGCTGTACGGATGTTGCTGATGATGATGAGTATGAAGAAACAGGGATAGTCGTCTTCATAATATTATCTGACACTTCTTTTTCCATTCGATTATTATTACCACTGGTAAAAGATGGATAGTCATTATTCACATCTGATGATATAGATGTTGTCGAAGCAACCACGACAGGAGATTTCTCTGGTGATAATGATTTCCCAGGTTTTTCCAATGGTTTATTAGTATCGATCGGTAGAAAATCTCCACTGTCTAATCGGGATCCAAAATTTTTTTTCAAAAAAACAGTAACAGGTAAATACATGTGATATTTCAAATGGCAAGTTCAGCAATAATTAATTTTCTCAAATTCCTGATAAATATGAATATGAATTAGGTTAGATGATTCTGTGAAATCATTTGCTATGATTTAAAATTGATTTTTCATCAAGAAATGGTGTTACTTAGAGAACCCTTGAAAGATATGAAGTGCCAGACAGTTACTTTTAGGTCCGAATCCCTTCTTCATAAACGTTGGAGTATAATAGTTCGCATTTGTATTACTTTATCTTAAAGTTCAGACAATGTGCAAGCCCGCGATGTTTGAGAATAGAAGTTTTAGAAACAGTCCTTATATATATAGTAAAACTGTCTATTTATGCCGAGGTTAGGGTAAGCTGTTGTGTAAAGATGATAAATGGACTGAAAAAAGTCATGGATGAACTTTGAGCAATGCTAAAACGACCTTGGAAATTTCCATTCACATACTAGGGTTAAATGAGCATAGTAAATTAGTATGAAGAATCAGGATTTACAGTTGGACGTTAGGATTAGGAATTAGATTTGATATTTTCATCACGAAATGACATCAGCTGTAATGTTAAATGCTATTTAGCTAAATGAGCGAAAGAGATATCTGTTGTGGGTATTTTTGAATCTTACTGAAATCATGAACAGATCTCAGTTAAATAACCACAGGAGACCTAAAAGCATTGGACGACCGTTTCGCCCTAGTACGGGACTCCTTAGCAGTGGCGCAGCATACAATTGGATTCAAACTGTAATTTAGAGTTTAAGCTTTCGCACGTGAGACCGAAGATATTGGGTTGGACCGCCGGTTACAGATCGTGAGTGCACAATGTTAAGGAGTTACATACTAGAACAAGATGGCCATCCGGTGCTTCGAAGTTTTCAATAGTTGACTGACTGAGATCGGTTCGTGGTTTGAATAAGTTGACAGGGCTAGAGGCCTGAAATATTTAATTTCTAGCTAAACTATATCTCTAAACACAATATCATTATTCTTGTCTAACAGTATATAACTGTAGATTCTAAACCCCGTTTTACCACTGATTATCGATCAATGATTGTAAGTGACTTAACCGAAATAGTTAGGGTGAAACCCTAAACAAATCGATTTTTCGGAGAAGATAGAACGACTACAGCCAACTAACTGTATATTACATATATGTGTGTCATTCAACCATTTATCATTTATACACACTACATTTAACTACGAGATGGGATATCTTGTGGGATAACGGCAAAACTGGTCAAGTACAAAATTAAATATTACAAAGTAATCAGTAATTCTACACTTCTACACGTCCTTATGATTACTTAACACTAATAATAAATAAAATATATTTAGTAAATATTTTCAATCGTTGCTACTCTCCTCCTCTATAAACAACTATCACATACGAAAGATAAAGTAATGTGTCAACTACCTGATGACGGTAAAGTTCGTTCCTCGTGGACAGAAGATGTTATAAATGATTGTTGATCAGTTGATTGATTAAAATTAGTAGTAATAGTGGCGGATTGCAATATCTCCGTTTGTCCTTGTACAGATAATAACGTAGATGGAGAAGCGGTAGTGTTAGTAGTAGCATTCAATACCATATCTTCATTGCTAACAGTTTTCTTGATTAATTTTCCATTTGTCAAAAATGATGGAGTATCATTTAACGATGAGTAAATATCTTGTTCAACAGTTGGCTTTTTATTTACACAATTAGATTGATCAATTTCAATAAGAGAATTATCATCATCGTCTTCATCATTATCTGTGTTAACATTTTCATCAGTCTCTAATTCAACCGGATGACTAAATAAAAATTTATTAAAGAACAAAAGTAATATTAACCGTGATTGAGAAAGGTGAGTAAGCAAACAACAATCTTGTAGGAGATTAGCAGCAGTAGAATGATGTTAATCAAGCAAATTAAACAAAATATCAAGTGAAGTTAACTTAGTCAGAGATGATCAAATTACAGTCCGTAGAACATGTGAGTTGGGCTAAATTGTCATAAAATATTAGTAAGATGAGAACAATTGAATAAAATGAATAGTAAATTGATTGAAATAATGGCAATGAAAATGCAAAATAATGAATAATGTGAATACAGTTCAAAAAGATGGAATGGAAGGGTATGTATAAAGTAATATTTGTGCTCAAGATATAGAGGAGGCTATAGACTGGATGTATCTACGCTATTATGAAAGATTTTAAGCTGTGATACCACAAAAGTTTCCAACCATTTATCATGGTTATCGCGTGGACCCCAAACGAGGTAATACAAACCGTTTAATATAATTCAGTCTAATATTCAATAATTCTATGGGCAGATGTTACAACATAGTTTAGTGACCCTTAATTTTCTTCATATAGAAAAGTAAGAATTGTAGGATGAAACATTTATTATCGATCAACTAATTTGATATTAGAACATATAAGAAATGAATATATGTATATATAGGTAATGCTTGTGAGATACCTTATGAATGTTTTGTTAAACTCCATTCACTATACACTATATAATAGCTTAAAAAGATTTTATAAAAAAAACGGTTATAAATCGTGACAAAGAGTAAAGGGGAAGATATCAATATCCCACTAGTGATGATTGCCGTTTATTTATGTACCGATAAGTTGAAATTTGTCAGATATTTCTTCACTTGATAAATGTACTTCGACATGTATATAAGAATACTAGAGAATGACCAGTGTTAATCCGCGTAGTTATTTATATACACGTTGTTATTATAGTTGACTTTCTTACCGTATATAGGTTAATTTGAAATACATATCGACTGTTCACAAATATTTAAATCGGGAATGCAAAATAATCACTAACTAGAAAATTACAAAATATAACACATAGTAAACAAATTTTTAATTAAAACTAGATATATAAGTTATAAAGTTTAGGCAATTAATAAGATTAATGATAACAATAATAATCACAATGTATTGATGCTACTATTATTATCATTATTGTAAAATTGCGAAGTTATCTTTTACTCAATACAAACAAATAAACAATTTGCTTGAGACAAGTTTAATATTAGTAGACAGTAGAAAAGCGAACAAAAATCATCAGATGGGTAAAAGGTACGTTGTTGCCTTTTCTATATATATATATATATATATATATATATATAGAGAGAGAGAGAGAGAGAGAGAGAATGTGTGTGGAAAGAAAGAAGAATGAAAGATAGGAAAAATAAGAGAGAGAGATTGTTTGGGCTACAACAATGATAGTAAAGTAAGGTATGTATTAAACTCTACTATCACTTATTAGTGTTAAGGTCGTAAGATGATGTTGGCTGTGAAGATTGTGGTCTCGAAGTTGGATGGCTCAGCTGTGAGGTAATGATTATTCTTCTGAATAATGAATTTATTTATTGATTTGAACACATAAACACTAGTACAAGGGGGGCACCAGATACATATGCGCCACACAAAACTCATTTGATTTGTGTGAGGGCTGTGATAATACCCGGGTGCACGAACCGAAGCACGTGGTTTACTTAGGGGGGGCCACACTTCTAGCCTTCGACCTAAAGGTCTGATCCGCAAGGTAGTGGAGCATCGTAAGGAGATGCAGTCTGATGATACCCGGTGACGAACAGTTAGTTCATATGCCATTTGTTTCCTCAGGATACTGGAGCCCATGTGCACCATTGGTTTGGAATCAGGGTTTTCCAACTCCCCTAGGTGGACTCTCCGTGTCCACCAACCTGGTTAAAGTACCGTACATTCGCTTTCCATCCTTTCAATTTTGTAAACAACACCCCCGACACGAGAAGGCAGTGAGTAGGACTTCCATGACAGACGCTATGTACGCGTGGTCATGTGAGAGGATTTCGAGAGGGAGAGTTGACTCTCCCCACTTTCGGCCACACCAGGGCATTTAGGTCATTATAACGACCACCATTGTGTGTAAGTGTATGAATTTGTGTTCAAAATTTTCATTTATTATTCACGATAGCATATATGATGAAATGGAAAGAAATCAAGTTAATATCAATATTTCTTAATAATAAATATATTTTTGTTATATACCAATGCGTAAAAAATGGTATTTTCGAAATTTCGTAACTTAATATAAACTACTTCTTCAGAGCAAACAAATGATCGATTAAAATTAACATTAGAAATACAATTTTTCTACTCATTTAAGATAATAACAAAAGATATAATTATTCTTAATCCTTTACCCAGTAGTGCTCAATTTATTTGAAACTATCAAATCCAACCTTGACATTGATACCCATAAAGTGTCTTTTTTTTAAAATATTAAAACCAAAAATAATTAAGACCTGAGTAAAAGTCAGTTCATGTACTTTTGTTCCATGAGAGAAAAAAATTGCAAAGAAAAAAAAGCACACCATCATTAAGATAAATTGTTACACTCAAGAATTTACAATAATTTTTTCCTGATGAAAAAGTGAATAATTACCATTCTTTTAAAATTAAACTTAAAATGATACACTAGATTATTAAAGTAATTAACTAGTACAAGAGAAAATGTATCTTTTTCAACATGTCCCTACTCTTTAGTTTTGAATTAATAATGTGATAATTACGATCGATATAATTTGTTACCAATCAGCCAGTTATGATCCAAGTAGAGCAAGCTATATATATATATATATATATATATATATATATATATATAAATTCAGTTTCTCAAACAATTAGTAAGACAAGATTAAATGAACATGATGAATACCAAAATAATCAAAATAACTATAGTAGCAATGATAATTAGAATAAGTGAACATTAGAAATAACTATTGTTTAAAAAAAGACTCAATAAACGGTTGTATATGAAGGAATATTGGAAATTAAGTACATGAGGAGTAAGAAAAAATAAATGAATCTGTATCAAAGTCATCGATTCTGAGTCAAGTCACTCAAGATCCCGAAACACTGATCATAGTTATCGAATATTTTCCAGACTCAACACAAAAATATGTCATCATCAAATAACACAATTGATGCTGTATAATTAGTTATTTCACAGGTTGAAATCATGAGTCAGTTGAAGCTCGACCACCATTGAAAACCTGGAAGCACTGGACGGCCGTTTCGTCCTAGCATGGGACTCCTCAGCAGTGCGCATCCACGACCCCGCCCCCCCCGCGGGATTCGAACCCAGGACCTACTGGCTTCGCGCGCGAGCGCCTAACCATTAGACCACTGAGCCGGCATCCAACGGTGTTAATGTCTAACTTCAACCAATCCATGAAGTTGCGCCAGGTTTTCAGTGGTGGTCTAGCTTCAACTGACTCATGATTTCAACCTGTGAAATTTCGTAAAACTCTCCACAAAACTCATTCTGATAATTAGTTATTTGTTTTCTTTCAATACATGTTAACAAAATTGTTTATTATTTTTTAGGATAGGATTGTGGAGATTGTTGAGTTCCCAATGAAATCATGAGTCGATCGATGTCAGATAACCATTGAAGACCTGGATAAACTGGATGGCCGATTCTTCTAAGTATGGGATTCATTAGCAATGAGCATTCACGATGCCGCATGTGAGAATCGAACCAGAGGACTTTTGTCTATTATTTATACAATCAATTTAGTGAACAACACTCACAATATTTGAGAAATATTTGTCATATCATACTAATTACTTTAATTGTAATATATATGCTTCATTAAAATCAATACGTATTGCCTGATTATGATGACACCTAAGTGATTTTTCTCTCAGTATGAACACTTAGTGATTAATGATCATCTATACATGAAAAACAGAAACCGATTTCAGACAAGTACAGATACACACGTACATAAGTTATAGATTATTGATTAGTTTAGTTGATTGTCATCATAAAGTATGAGAAAATGTATCATTATTTCTAAATGTTATGAAACTATTTATTGGGCGAAAGAAACATTGACAACGGACTGTATCTTCAAAACTGTACAATCTTATATGTACATTTGGTTCAGCTAACAGATACTCAAGTATTGGAAGATCAATTTACTGTTTAATACCATATATTAAATACTTCACTTGCATATCGTCTATTAATTGCCTCTTAAGAACTTTATTGATCCTTTATTCCTAATACTATTACAATTACTCTCCCTTTATATTCCTGTTCTCTTCAATTCAATCTTCTCAATATTCTGATGCCAGGCATTCCGCTTCTAATTGGTGTTACATGCTACTTATATCTATCGACATAAGTAGTATAAACTACAGTGGTATAGCTCAATGAATAAGTGTTTATTTGTTAAACTTCGATTAAATTTATCATATGTACGTACACAAATGAATAACGTTAAAAGGGAATTTCAACAGAAGATCGATAAGGTAAGGACGGAAACGGAACGAATTTGGTATGAAAATGCAAGAACAAATGAAGTCTGAGACAATGGACAGATATTTGCAAAAAGAACAGTGATTTTTAAGATGAATTGATATTTTGCAAATTAACTATTTACTATATGGTTCTCAGATTTTCTTGAGATGTTCTGTAATGTCGTGTCAAATATTTTTATGTCATCAGTTACCAGCTATCATGTGTAGTTTGTAACCTTACATTGCTCCATCGCCTTGTGGATCAGACCTTATGTTGAAGGCTCAATATGTTGCCCCCCTTCGGTTTGAGCACACGGGCAGTATCCCAGCTCTCACACGAATCGAATGATTTATGTGGCGCATGTGTATTCGGTGCCTCCTTGTACCAATATTTATGTGTCGAAATAAATAAATAAGTAGTAGTAGCAGTTGTTGTTGTTGTCGTCGTCGTACAAAAAATCTTAAGAAATATTTAAAATTATATGCACAGTTTGATTATACATTTTATAGAGTAAAACAAAAGAAACGTAGAAAAAAGAGTAGTATATGATAACAAAAATACCCTATAAGATCAAAGTAAGAAAAATATAAACTGTTATTTGTGAACTTAGTGAATAATTAAAGATAAATAGATTTAAAATAATTTATTTACCTTCGTTTAACTGCTTCTGTTATTTTCGATGATTCTGGTAGTTTAGATGCACTGGATAATCTTTCCTATAAATATTAAATACATTAACTTATAATTTAAGAAGAACAATAAACAATAATAATAACAATAGGAACTGATTGACTGCAGTCATTAATATCTTACTCAATAACTTATGCCTGTTAGCCATAGTAGAAGAGCATAGGTCACCCATCAGCATTCTCCATCCGACCGTGTCCTGGGTATATCATTCAAGTTTTTTCAATTGCTACTCAACCTTTTCATGTCTGCTTCCAATTCTGGACGTAGTGTGTTCTTCGGCCTTCCACTCTTACGTTTCCTTTCAGGATTCCAAGTAAGAGCTTGCGTCATGATGAAGTTTCGTAATGTATTTCTTATCCACTTCCAATGTCTTTTCGTAATTTCCATTTCATCTGAAAGTTGGTTTGTTCTCTGCCGCAGTGGGCTGTTGCTGATGCGATCCGGCTAACAGACATTGAGTATCTTGAGCAAACAACTGTTTATACATGCCTGTACCTCTTTGATGACGACTGTAGTTCTGAAGGTATCAGCTCTGTGTAATAAACTCTCCTGACGTTTACGCTGAAAATAATGACGTTAGTTTGAGTAACGGTTGTTTTTACTTTCACATGTACCACGATTGTAGGAATTCCGCCCTTGCTTTGCCAATCCATGCCCTCATATTTGCATTAGAGCCCCCTTATTTATGAGCGATGCCACCCAGGTGGTATGTAAGTCTCAACCTCCTCCACAGCTTCCCTAACAAGTGTGATTTGGTCGGGACTCGCTGTATTGTATTTTAGGATCTTGATTTTACCCTTGAGTATGTTGAGGCTTACTGCTACAATGGCTGACTTCACCTACATTTATTACTGAATATGGGATAGAAGAGCTATGAGTTCAGAATATCAATAATGGGAAATCACAAACCTTTAGTAATATTTATATAACGGTTGAGAACAAGTAGGTAAAAGATTATGTGGATTCAGTAGCTTAGTGGACAACACATTAAGCATTTAAAGTGAAAGATACTGACTTCAAGTATCAATGTGAACAATAACAACACTGGAGACACAAGTAGAGGAGATACCTAGCTGAATAGTCTCGAAAGAGAGATGCATGTAATGGATTCTGTTGCCAAGGCCTGGCATTAAATAGGTTATCAGTAAGAATTTTCGATATATTCAATATGTGGCTGGTAGTAGGATCCATGACGCGCGTTTCATTCCAGTTAGAGAATTTTTACCTGAATGTACACGTATTCCACTATTTTTAATGTTCATACATTGAGAACCAAACTCGGTAGAAAAAACGACACACAGAAACTACTTACAGCTCTTTGTCTTTCACGAAGTTGTCTAAGCAACACAATCATTTCTTTATCAGCTACATCGAATACAGATTGACTCTGAGAAAAGAGAATAGAAATGAGAGGAAAATGAAAATAAGTTTGTTTATTGAGCAATTGGTAACGTAATATATGAATCAATATTTGATTAAAATAAGTGAATTGGTCTCCACAATCAACCGTAAATAGAATGGCAAGTTATTGTGTGAAATTATTCCAATGACATGAATATAATACAAGGAATTAGTACTAGCAGCAATATATTTTTTTAAACCCGGCAGCTTAAAGTTTAACAGACAGTGTGTGTTAAAATATTAAGACCTAAAGGAAGACGAAAATAATTTCTAAGCTCCTTTTCAAATCATTTACCAGGTATAAACAAATCCGTGTAACTGGCTCCGAGTTACACTCTATAAATGTTTGGGCTTATGGCTACTACATAGTTATCGAGTCGGAGCATGGTTCAAGCCTGTGAATTGATGGCTGCAATTCGAATAGTTTAAACACAACTGACCCACTGCTCCAGCGGTATACAACATTTGCTGATTAAAATAGTAGCTTTACAACTTATAATTATTTATGTCCATTACCTTATGACAAAAAGCTGCACAGAGATAGTCCAGTACTATTAATCGATATTTCTTATGCTATCTCTGAAGGATTAGCGTGTGTAAGCAAATAGACAATCTAATTTATAGTTAGTGACTTATAGTCATCAACGTGAAATATTTTATAATGATGCAAAATAAGAAAGTGCAAGTATTTGACCATGTACAGACTACTTCAGAAGACTAGAGCTCAATTGCAACTGTTAGCTGGACACAATATTCGTAGTAAAACTATTCAAGCTACATATTGGGATTAGAAACCTTTATTTATTGAAATTCAAGCAAATGAAAAAGGTGAATCGCAAAGTAATATGACAAAACATTATACTGTCGACTATACTGTAATAAAATATCTTCAAAGGGAAACTCGTATTTATAGCCATTGCATTAAACATAAAATAGACAGGGGTTATGTTATATCTTCGACTTGATTACGACTAATACGGTATATGGCTAATGGAAGTCAAACGCGAAGAAACCCACAGTCGCGAATCAAAAGACGGAAGAAAGCAGGAGATGCGGTTATTGAGTGTCGGAAATGTACAGAAAAATAGAGGTATTATAGTTTTCATTATAAACTATGACATTATTTTAATCCAGCCGATCTCTACGTAGGAGGTAATAAAATTGTCCAACCATAGAATGCTACATTGGTATTCTAAAAAGTTCTGCCGAAATCTGAATGGATCGGATATTTTCAGCTCCTCCATAGCCTCTGGAGACTTCGCTGCGCTTTCTGGGAATCGTCCCGATAGGTTGGAAAAGTCTATTCGACAAACAGATGCTCACATTATTAAAACTATTTGTAACTAACTACAAGGAATTATCGCTTGTGATCAGGGATTTAACACGAGCACCTACAAAACCATCAACATTGATACAATTTATTTCTAAACCAATTCAAGAATATATATATATATATGCTTTAACATGGCCATATGCATAAAACCACTGACAGGGAAGTCCTACTCACTACCTCCTCGCGGCATTACCGTTGTTTACGAAATTGAGAGGACGAAAAACGAATTTCCGGTGCTTTAACCTGGTTGGTGGATATGAAGTATTCATCCAGGGGAGTTGGAAAACCCTGATTCCAAACTAATGGTTCACATGGGGTCTTGAGGGAACAAACGGCGTATGAACCTATTGGTCACCGTTTACCATGGTAGTTCATCTCCTGACGTTGCCCCACTGTCTTGTGGGTCAGTCCTTTATGTCGACCGCTCGGGGTGTGGCCCCTTAAGAAATCCACTTGCTTTGGCCTGGGCACCCGGGCAGTATCACAGCTCATACACAAATCAAGTGACTTGTGTGGTGCATATTTATTCGATGCCTCTTTGAACCAGTATTTATGTGTTCAAATAAATAAATAACCGGATGAAACAAAGTTCAAACATGTAGATTTGTTAATATAAAATCGTTCAAATTAAAACAATCATAACCATGTCAATTGTCAATTACTAATGAATAAAAATGTAGTTAACGATTATTCAGGTATAATACAAATTTTAGTGAATTTTTCTATAGAATTAAGTTATTCAGTCATCATTATCATTATCATCATCACACATAAATACTGCCTACATGTAGTATAGCAATAAATGTTGAAACATTTACTATCCTTGTACATCATAAATTTATTAGTACCCTTGAGTGGATTATAATAATAATAATAATAATAATAATACACTAACTATGAAAGACAAATTTAATTAACCCCTCAGTAATTGTATCAATTGTGTATAACGTTAAAAGATAAGAAAAAGAAGAGAAAGGAGAACACTTTTAAATCAACAAAAAAAATTTGTGACGTATATATGATGAAATAAAAAAACATTCATTCATTGAAATATTCTAATTAGAAATTTAGATATAATTCTTATTACAAATTATTCTAGTTAAAACATATTGTGTGAATTTTATATTACCTTTCTATCTTTTTTTGTATATTGTTGATATGTGAATTATTATGGGACAAACCATTAAGGAATTTTAGTGTTGTTTACAAAAATGAGAGCATGAAAAGCGAATGTACGACGCTTTAACCGGATCCCAAACTAATGGTGCACATGGGCCCCAGTATCCTGATGGAACAAATGGCGTATGAACCAATCATTGGTCACCGGCTACCATGAGACTGCATCTTCTTACGATGCTCCACTGCCTTGTGGGTCAGACCTTTGGGTCAAATGCTCGGGGTGTGGCCCCCTAAGAAAAACACCTGCTTCGGTTTGGGCACCCGGGCAGTATCACAGCCCTCACACAAATCGAATGATTTGTGTGGCGCATATCTACTTGGTGCCTCCTTGTACTATATGTTAGATATGGTTAATTTATGTATACTGAAAGTTAATCTAGGCTATTCATCTCTAATATCTAGATGATGTTAGTCTAATTGTAAATGATTAGGTTTAACATATGTCAGTAAGTCTACTTCTGCTTGATGATTGTGAAATCTAGCTTAGATAATATGTTAATATACCATCACTATCCTTGTTTGATTATCGCTGTCTCTGAAAGAATTTTTATATTTAGTTGGTAACACAATATTATGAATGCGGAGGTTTAGGACTGTGCTTTGTGTAGAGTAACGAAAACTTAATTGGTGTCACTAATGAAAGACTGACTAGATAAATGTAATCCTAGTGGCCTCCGCATCGTGAACTATTTATTGACACTGACATTAGTATGGATAAAACGGAGAAGTGATCAGTTTATAATATAGTGTTGTGATATGATAGATAGTTGATCATACAACACAGTGGTTTGAGACGTTATTAGATATGAGTTAGACTAAAAACCAGTGGTTATTTTGGTATAGTTTTCGATTACAATCTTCGTACACGAGAAAAGAAATCTTTTAAAAAATGAAATCTTTATTGGCTATATTCCTAATTGAAATGTAGCTCCTATCGAACACTATTCTTGTTCAATTAGTTTCTTTACTACACTACCTTTTACTGCTTTTTTTCTCCACAATATTATCCATTCATTTGTGTAGCATGTTTTCTTGGTGTTTCTCTATTCTATTAGGATTTTTATGTACTTAAATAAATAAATACACAAGTTGAGACACTAGGGTTGTTAGTTACAGAATTTGAATAATGTTGATATATTGGCCCCTAAATGCCATGATACGTCCGAGGGTGGGGAGAGTTTTCTTCCCCTTAGAAATGTTCTCACATAGCCCTGGGTTTATAGCCACTGCCAGAAAATCCCTACTCACTGCCTGCTCATAGTGGACGTGTTGCCTACGGATTAATAAACCCCAGTTCACATCATTATTAAACGAACTGACATGTAAGTGTCCAATAGGAAAAGAAATACACACACAAAGGAGGACTTACGGCACGTGTATGCTCATCAAAACTAGCACCAGCGTTAGCTAACATTCGAGCAGATGTTTCACGATTCCAATGTGCTGCTGCATGTAATGCAGTCCATCCATCGAAATCTTTAGCATTTATATCTAAACCGGGAATTTGTAAAAGAATTTCCATTGCTTTAGTATAATCTTTACAAGCTGCGACATGTAAGGGAGTGGCACCAGTTCTAGGATCAATAACTGGTCTATAACGTTAAAAAGATGTGTAAGTTAGTCAGTCAATTACTTTAAAGTAACAATAAAAAATATTAATTTTAAGCATACATAAAATATAAGTAAACTTTGTTGCATACGAGTAAAGAGTAAAATATATTTACTCGATATCCAGTTAATCAGTGACAGATAACATATGACCTAGAATAGATGAGGATTGGGCCAAGACGTCATACTATGTATCAAGACAACAATGGATCACAACATGAGCCTACATCATGCCCACATCTAATCCCATTGTTACTAGAAATGTGAGATTGTGTAGTAGTAGTAGTTAAGATAACCAATTGTATTTTAATACAAAATTAGAGTTCTTTCGTCAATTGTGAAAACCATGCAGTAAATAGTGCATTTGCGAATCCTTCATCAATTGTCTCAAACTTCATCGTCCTTTCATTGTCATTCTCTTCCGTTCGACGTCCCTAACCTTCTGCTGCTAGGCATTCCACTTTTGATTGATGTCATATACTACTCATACCTGTCGATATAAGTAACATATACCACAATGGTAGTATTAATGTGATCGAAAACAGAATTTTCCTTCAAGCTTTAGAACTAATGAAAACAAAATATCATATCATCATGAATAGATTAAGTGAGAAAAAAACTTACTTATATTGACCACTGGATAACCAATGTTGTGCATCATGTAAAAGCATTTGTTCTTCTGAATGTTTAATAGCATCACCGTCGATATTTTGCTTTTTCATTGAATCTGTAAGTAGATTAATCATTTCTTCATCTTGTGCTACATCAATTGGTAATTCTAGATCTACACTTAAAATGGAGAGACTTGCACCATTTTCAATTAGAAATCTGTTATAGAGTGTATGTGTAAGAAAAAGGAAAGAAAATAAATGAGGAAAATAGTTGAGTAGTGAGACATACATATTTTTAAACTTTTATAATAAGAGAAAATAAACACTTTCTATTGTCAACAATTTAACATAAAATGAGAACAAAGTTGAAGAACTGAGTTGTCTAGTATGAAATAAATTTTTGAAGAGTAACATGAAATAGAGAAGAATTCACTTTTATACATTGAATAAACTGAAGTGTAAAATACTAGATTAAGGTCAACCTTTAAAAAAAACACTAAATGGACAACAGATCACATGACTCTATAAAGAAAAAGAGAAATGTTAGATAGTTGTAGGTAGTTGGTAGGATATTCTGCTTTACATCGTTTCAACCACAATCAGTTAATTAAATTCCAAATTCATAGAACAAGTTGTTGGTCGATTGTGGTAAAAGAATTCTAATCGCTTAATCCTTTTCTAAATATGTACTGATGATGTCAAGAAAAACAATAAATGCTGCACAACTAAATCAACCAGTACAAATAATATAATACCTCGAACAAACTAACCTAATTGAATAGAACAGATGGATTATGACTAAGAGGAGAATCCATAATGTATGTTTCGCTCCATTTTTAGGCTCGCTACAACTAGATTTAGGTGGATCCTAGTATTGATATTCATAGCACAGACTCATTTTAAACACTCAATACTGGGATGCAGATACATCCAAATAGGACGAAACGCTTATTTCTGAACCCACTACTAGCCACAATTCATCTATTCTAAACAATCTTGTGACAATGTGGCTACATTGGGACAATCGGCACAGTGGGTATACATGCCAACAAAGACTGATCAAAGTTCAGTCCACAGTATCAACAAGACGACACAAACACCATTAAAAAAACTGATATAACCATTAGTACGTTGAATAGTTTTATTTTCTGCACAAAAAACTATCTTCAATATTTAATATTTAAAAATGGAAGAATCAAGAGACATTAGTTTACTCAACGATATATGTGATAACATAAACACTCATACATACACAGAAATATACACAAATCAATGAGATTATGATGATGACACTAATAATAATGATGTAGGTAGGTGGAATTAGTCTACAAATTCTGATTTTTACATTGCCACAAATATATACAACATAAAAACAGAAAACAAATCGATAAAAACATATTAGGTTTTCAATGGTCACCTAAGATCGGTCGGTTCATGATCTTCCCGTTGTTGGTGTAAAGGTCAGAAATTATTCAGTCTCTCTTGGCCTATCTACATTGAGAAACGGATGTTGCCATTATATCACAAACATTTTAAGCTAATGGGCACTTAGAAATAATAGCTAAGTTGATAACGCATTAGAAGTTCTGTTGCCTGCATCAAATGTAATTTGGGACATGGATTATGTCTGGTATAAGAGTAAGCTGGAAAAAAAAACAAGGGATCACCAAAGCAATGGTGTAGCACAATTCTATAAAGTGATTGACTGTTGGACTAAAACGTGTAGGCAAATATAGCTTAACTGGAGTCCTTGGGATGAGCAGGATTAATTATTGAAGATTTAAAGTAATGTGGTTTAGAATCATCTACACAGAGGAAGATTCATCGACTACCTAACTTCTCTTACTCTTAAGTCTTGAGCTTCAGAATTATCTCATACTGTTATCATAAGAATTATTTTCTTAATATTATTCTATGTACGTAAAGTTTTCTATTACAACTGACACGACTACTACCACTATTCCAAAGTCTACCATCTTGGAATCTGTCTTGATAATTTCATCTCATCGTACTAACATGATGTAGTAACTTAAACAGATGCATATATATGCCAGGTTCTACATCATATATGACTGACTGAATTCGATTCCAAGGATCAGAGAAACAAGATAATGGTTAATATTTACTTATCAATCCCTAAAAACAATTAAACTCTATAACAGCAGGTCATTAACAGCGCAAAAACTTCTGTCGTCACATATTTCAAACTGTAACATTAGATGATGTGTCAACGATTAACAAAATTACGAGGAGCATCAGTTTCTTTAAGAAAAGTGTTATCACTTCTTGCAGTCAATCACTAATCTAACCAGCCTACATATTCAATGCAATAAGCAGTTATTCAGAATTGATATGAAGGAAAAATGTTGAATTCGATTACAAAAAAATGGGATGTACTTTTTGCACAATATACACTTCAAGTATTCTGGTCACACACACATACATTTCTTAGTCAACGCATTTTATATGATAATCAAATAAGGTCAAACAAATGATTTCTAAAAAAGGAAAATATAAAGGAGTGATAGAGAATACCACAGAAATAATATGTTTTGACACTATTACTGAAGTTAATGGAGAAGTGGTGTACACTCGATGTCTGTCTATTGAGTTGTAGATTCAAACACCCTTTTAAACGGGATAATAAATATAATAGGCCCTAGCACGAAAAGAATCAGTAAGGATAAATTTGTAATTGATTACTGAGTTAAATTACTCTTAGCATTAAAAATAAAATGTAATAGTGTCACAAGAGTCCTAGGGTAATAACTCTTGGAAACACTATCCAAGTGGTGTTGAATGAAAACTCTTTAAAAGCATCCAGAAAGTGAAGAGTCACGTGTCACCTCTTTGATTGGGTATTTACCTAAACTTCAATTATATTTAGTATGCTCGTAAAAATTTCCAAAAGCCAAAGGTTGTATTCAACTTTATGAATACTGTCATTTTTTCGTACATAAACAAAACTAGGAGTAAAGCATTCTTTTCGCCATTTGCGCCTTTAATTTTATGTTACAGTATTCGTGTATATTTAGTCTGAGGTGATTAGAAGAGGCTAGGGAATCAGATCAACTTTTCATTTAGCAGTTTTTAGTAAAAACACTAACGAATTAACTAGATTAAAGATAGTGAGTCTTGGATTTTTGCCCAAAATTCAAAATGCAATGGCGAATAGCACCTGCCCTACTGACGTCCACATAAAAATAAACAAGACCCACCAACATTTAGTTGTTAAGACGCTAAAATATGTAAGACTACAGAATATGAACGAAGTTGAGAAACTCTCCAAGTGATGATGACGGAGATAGTGGGTATGGTTAGTTTTTGAAGAAAAAAATCATGGGAAACAAATGGAACTAAATATATATAATACTTTAACATAATTAACGAATTATGCAAGGTAACTTGCATAAATATTCATCAATGCCATCCCATAAAAGATTCATTCATCATTACTCTAACCCCAAACAATGCTTATTCAAGAAATTACCCATTTCTATCACATGATGACTGAAAATTGATTTTACTTTCAGGAGGATATTTTAGGAGACATTGAATATTATAATTACAGTGTACTTTCGTTGAGTTTATCTTTTTATGGGAACTAAGTTTGCATGTTTCGAAATTTTATACAGAACTTCGTATTTTTCTGTTCATGAACTCCACGATGAACAAAAAAACTTTATCCAATTAGTGTCTCTTATGAATTCGAATAAAAAACAGGAGAAAATGAACATGAAACAAATAATTCATTGTATTCAAAAGAAAAAATTAATTAAACGTTATATTCGTTATTGAACAGAGAATATTTTATACTAGTGAAATGATTAATACCATTTGTTCAAGTTAAGTTTTGTATAGCGTTGAATAATTTGAAAATAGTAGAGAAGATTGGTAGTTTAGATGAATGATTTTTGTGGAGATTCGTTCTCTGAGATGGATGGGTATAATAGTGAAGATTTGATTATTCTTTTAATTACCATCATATGCACAAACTTTAGGAAAGAGTAAGATATTAGAATGTCTTTACATATGGCTGACAGTTTGTTCTATCAACCTTGAGCTTAACTGCTCATCGCTGACTATGTTGTTGACAAGATAAGCTGTTAGTCATATGTGAAGAAATTTGAATACCTTATTTTTGCCTAAAGTTTGCGTGTATGATAGTGATCAGAAGAACAATGAAAACTTTACGATTAAACCATCTAGCTCAAAAGACGAAACCCTACTAGAATGATTTGAAAATATTTATATAAGGTAGCAGAAATCTTTGTATATAAAATTGGCATACGAAATAATTTAAAATGATGGCATGAGTTAATTTATAATACAACAAACATATATTAGTGTACTAAGCTAATTCTGTATATCAACAAACATTGCAAAATGAATGGGCTGCCATTTCACAGACACGTATACCATATCCCTAAATATGCATAAGTAAAATGAACAAAGTTCAATTTTTTACAAACAGTTTACTCACTCACTCACTCTTACACTCTAGGTTTGAATATGATTATTTTAACACAAAAAAAACAAGACATCTAAAAAGCAACAAGTAAACATCTATCATGGAAGACTTATTTGCCAGAGGCTAAACCAAAACGTAACATCAGTTCAAAAAGTCACTAACTTCTAGTCTGAGCAATATTGGTAGATGCAAACTACATGGTTGGAATCCACGCAACTATCGGTAACCAGTGGTTGGAAACTCTGAGTGACATGGCTCAGAATCGATCACAATGGCGTTGATATATACACTCTCTGTCTTCCATTAAACTATGAGATTAAAATTACTTTATGCTTTTCTTCCTTGTATCATATCGTTATATGCAATCTTTATTTTTAGATATTACTACTACTGAAGTAACTGTTTCTATGAAATGAGTATTCATCTTGTTGTACTAATGAAGTAAAGCAACTTAAACTAATGCATATATGTGACTGACTATTTGCACTTATGTTCTTTTCAAATGTATCCCCTCATCAATTTTCTTTTAAATACAAATAAATAACTCATATTACCAAAGTTGATTTTGTTCCTTTTTTTAAAAAAAAGAAAACAAAATAACCCCCAACAACAGGATCAATCAATCGAAAATCATACATTTTCCACATGTATGCACAAAATTATTTCTTCAACTTAAATATAAAGGTCTAATTTTAATCACGTGCATCATACATACAAGGATTTTGTAGTATTGATATATTATCAAT